ACAGTTATTCCTTTAACTAGAGTTTTGCTATTATTGATTCAATTTTCTTTCATTTGTGTTATTTTGATTTTACTAAATTTAGTGGTTAATTCCAAGTATCCCCAAAATCCCCTTTTTTTATCTCAGCTAGAAAAGAAATAAAATTCTCCAATTCCTGTGGAGACAATCCTGCTCATCACTATATACAGTTTTATATTTGTTTTGAGTAGGTAATTATTATTACACAAATTCGACACTTGTCAATTTTTGGCGCAGTTGCCGGGGATTGGTGATTTATTTGTTTCTTTTTGGGCTTGTTTTATTTTATTCCTCTAGCATTTTTCCAAGTTTATGCCTCGTTTATCTCGAATAGGTGATTTATTTTTTGATCCTAAAATTGAGAAGACAGTGCATAGGCTCAAGAAAAAAGCTGGAGCACAGAAGGAAGAGCAATCATTTGCTGCATCTCTAAGACTTAATTTGGTTGTTGAATTGGCACATTACTCAAGCGATTCTGAACAGGGCGAAGTCAGCATGGCCAACAACAGAACTTTAAGGGAGTTAGCTGCTCTTGATTTGAATAACCAGCCACTTTGTATTACATTTCCTGATTTAGTAGAAAATGTTAATTTTTAATTAAAATCTGGTCTAATTCATCTTCTGCCCAATTTTTATGGTTCGCTAGGTGAGAAATCTCACAAGCATCTCCAAGAATTTCAAGTTGTCTGCTCAAGCATGAAGCCTACAGGTGTTACAGAAGAGCAAATAAAGATGAGAGCATTTCATTTTTCCTTAAAGAGAGCTGCTAAGGATTGGCTATATTACTTGCCTGTAGGAAGCATTACGAATTGGACAATGATGAAGAAAAAGTTCTTGGAAAATTACTTTCCTGCATCCCAAGCAGCTAGTTTAAGAAAGAAAAAATGTGGGATTAAGCAGCAATTAGGAGAGTCGTTGTATGAATATTGGGAGATATTCAAGAAATTGTGCACAAGCTACCCTCAGTACCAGATAAGTGAACAGTTATTGATTTAGTATTTCTATGAAGGACTCTTCTACACAGAAAGAAAGAAGTATCATAGACGTTGCGAGTGGGGGAGCACTTGTGATGGCCCCACCTCCCCCTAGGGCGTACCCGAGGGTTTGGCGGACTGCCTGCCCAGATTTCGCTAGGACTCATTACATTCACTACAATCAATTCTCAAAATAACCATTCAAACCTCCATATGAGCACTGGAGTTCTACAATTCAACCAATAATCTGAGCTTAATTACAAACCAAAATTGAAATGTAAGATACAATATCAAATATCCAAATACACTCTATCTACCAAAAGTACAAGTACAAGTACAAGTACAAGAGGGTCATACACACTAGTTCACACTTAGTTGCTCCTGACCTCCACTCCTGTAAGGAAAACAAACTAAAGGAATGAGCTAAAAGTCCAGTGAGGTTCCCAAACAAGCATTCAAGCAGTAAATCATGGACATATCACAGTTAACCACAACCAATCAAGGAAAACATTTGGAGCATTCAAGTAACAATAGCACATTCAGTAGAAGGATACGTGCTCACTTGGAACCATTCATTCACTCAGTCATTCAGTCTCCTTCCATATCTTCCTTATACCCCTGACATTTGAAAACAGTTGAAAATAAAAACTCCAACGGTGATCATTTCATTCAGTTAGTCATTTCATTCATTGCATTTCACTCACTAGCCAGTACTCCACCCGACTTCGTGGCCATATTCGAGTATACCAAAACAGTGACCTAGGGTCACCAACCTACCCGACCGAATTCGCTGCTGGCTTGAACAGGCTAGCGACGATGGGCAAGGGCCCAATTTAGCCAATGCAATAAAGTACACATGGCTTACATTCATGCACAAGTAACATTCAATCATTTGGTCATTGAAAATTCACATTCAATTAAGTCGAGTGCGATAAAGTACACACTCACCCATTTAAAATCCATTTAACAATCAGTAGAAAACATTTTACACTCAAACACTCATTCACAAATATTCAACATAGTCACTTATTGCACAAATATGCAAGGAACACTCACCACTTGATCATAATAGTTTAACTTCAACCCTGGTTCGTTCTCTTGGACAGGTTCAAATCTTGTCCTCATGTAATTCATCAAAAGTATAGTTACTTAAAGCCAAGATGATGAAAAAATATGAGATTCGACACTTCACTTAACAACCATAGAAACTATAGGTTCAACCCTAATATTCGAAGACTAAAAGGGCCACGGTTTCTTGTTTAAATCAAATTCTTAACATGCATGCTAAGATTAACACATCACTAAAATTTTCAAATCAAAATGTACAGGATTTAACCAAAGAAAGTTAGGTTTAAACCCAGAAAAGTTTTCTAAAGTTTTCTGATCAAGTCCCACTCAATCCATTTGATAAAATTCTCAGCTTTGGTGACATTCTTTGAAAAGGTATAACTTGAGTTCCGTAGGTCGAAAAATCACAAAACTTACACTATTAGAAAATATACTCAAAGCACTAACAGGTTTAGAAGACATCTTCATCAAATTCAGCTCATAGGTTAGTCAAATTTCAGTTTAAAACTTACTGCTATCACAAGTGCAGAAATAGAACAGTCATGATTTTCAAGAAATTTTACAGATTTGCTGGTATTTATAGAAATTGAACCAAACCCTAAATTTTATATCATTGGAAGCTCTCTGAGTCTAGTTTTAGACGCAACAAACGAAACTTAATTCTAACTTCTCTATACGAAATTATAGCCAATTTCCCAAATCTGCACAGAGCTTCCTGTGAAAATTTCTAGATTTCTAACAACTTGAGAAAATAAAACTTTTCTTAATGAAATCTCACTCCCTTGGCTCAAATTCAGCATACATGTGAAGATTAAGGTTTTAAAAAATGTCTAAAAGCTGAAATTCTCTCTCTCCCTCTCAGCCAGCCATAACAGAAATTTTTCCAGCAAAATCTCCAACAAAACCCTAAATTTTATATCATTGGAAGCTCTCTGAGTCTAGTTTTAGACGCAACAAACGAAACTTAATTCTAACTTCTCTATACGAAATTATAGCCAATTTCCCAAATCTGCACAGAGCTTCCTGTGAAAATTTCTAGATTTCTAACAACTTGAGAAAATAAAACTTTTCTTAATGAAATCTCACTCCCTTGGCTCAAATTCAGCATACATGTGAAGATTAAGGTTTTAAAAAATGTCTAAAAGCTGAAATTCTCTCTCTCCCTCTCAGCCAGCCATAACAGAAATTTTTCCAGCAAAATCTCCAACAAAATTTTCCAGCAAAATCTCCAACAAAATTTTCAACTTTCGTACTTAATTTCATGGAAAATGCACTATATCTTATAATTAACATGTCATGAGGCTTATAACATATGTTCTTGGCAAGAAAACCCATCACAACTCCACATATATCTAAAGCTTCAAGTAACTACATCAAAGCTGGAATTTTGCCTCTCAAAACTAGAAATTGCATATCATGACTAAAAATCACATATCAAAGGTTAAAATTTCATATCAAAGTTAGAACATCTCTTATGAAAGCTGAAAATTCATCTCAAAGCTGAAAATTGAATATTAAAGCTGAAAATTGACCAAACCCTAGCAACAACTTCACCAAACCCTAGCAAAACCATGCAATTACCTTAAACATACTTCCTTTAGATTCAATCATGACATATCTGGCATAAATCTCAAGAAACAAGTAAAAAGAGATGTTTTCTAGAAAATTTACTTCAAAATCCCAAGATGACAAGCAACTCAAGAGTTTTCTTCTTCCAAAACTCCACCGAAAGCTTCTCTTCAAGCTTACCTCAAGGTTGACCGGAGTGGATTAGGGTTGGTCTTTGAATTTTTCACAAATCAAGTAAGGAAGTCAAGATGAAATTGAAGTTTTTTCCCTCTTGGGTTCGGCCAACAAGGAGGAAAAAACGAGGAGTTTTTGGCTAATTTTGAAAGATAAACACAAGACTTCTCTTGGTCCAAGTCTTGATCAAGATTTCATGAATGTGCGACACTTGTCAAGGCATGGTTAATGCCTATCTCTTTGTTGCTAGATTTGTCTCTAATGACTAATCTAATTTGTGTTAATCTCTTTTGCACCACACTCGTTCTCGTCCACCAAATTTAATTCGCCTCGTCCACCAAATTTAATGCGCACATCTCACTAGTTGGTGAAACTACCATAATACTCTATGAAACTTAACATGTACCAAATTATAAAAAGGAAAAAGAGAAAAATCTTGACTTAACCTTTAAAACCACCATAAAATTAAGGCTAGTAAATAGGCAAGTAAGGTAAAATAAAAGAAAATATAATTTGATTAATTTTTTTTCAAAAATAAGAGAAAATATAAAATAATTTTCGAGTAAATCCTTCGAGAAGCATGGGACTTAATTGAGGGGATGGCAGAGAAATAGTTTGGCACAAGGGACAACATACCAACTCGACAAGTAAATGAGGTAAATACTTCTTCTATTCAGTAGCAATTATCTGAGTTAACCTCTATTGTTTGTCAGTTGACAATAGGAAATTTGCAGCAGGTCAAGGCATGTGGAATCTGCAAAGACACCAGTCATCTAATGGATAGGTGTCCAATGCTGCAAGAGGAAAGTTTGGACCAATTGAATATGGTTGGGAACGTGCCCCGTGCCATGCAAGCAGTATGATCCATACTCTAATACTTATAACCTAGGTTAGAGAGATCATCAAAATTTCAGCTATGAGGAGAATAGAGAGCCGAATTTCTTCCCCTATAGGCAACAAGGGTTCTAGCCCCAATATCAACCAAAGCCTCAACCTTCTTCATCCGACTCAGGAACTTCTCTTGAGGATATTGTTAAGACTTTAGCTACTAATACTATGCAATTCCAGTAGAAAATAGAATCGAGCATTCAAAATCTAGAAAATCAAGTGAGTGAAATTGTGATTGCACTCAGTTAGTGTAAAGGGAAAGGAAAGTTGCCATCTCAACCTGAGGTAAATCGTAAAAATGTGAGTGCTATGACCCTTAGGAGTGGCAAGGAGGTTGAAGGCCCGAATCCAAAACTGATTATTCCAAAGGAAAAGAACGAGAACCAGATTGAGCAAGAAATTGAGAAAGAAGGCAAAAGCAGTATAGATGGTAAGGTAATTCTTGACTCTTCTGTTAAACTTAATTCTAACTCGCCGTCTTTCCCTAACTAGTTAGAGAAGCCGAAAAAGTTGGACAAAGAAAAGGAAATTTTAGAAGTGTTTCGCAAAGTGGAGATCAATATTCCTCTATTGGACGCGATCAGACAAGTGCCCAAGTATGCTAAGTTTTTGAAGGACTTGTGCGTCAACAAGAGGAAGTTGCAAGGAGATGAAAAGATAGTGGTGGGAGAAAACGTATTATCCTTGTTCCAAAAGAAGTTTCCACCCAAGTGTGGGGATCTAGGCATGTTTACTATCCCTTGTAAAATAGGAAATACTAGACTTAGAAATGCAATGCTAGATTTAGGAGTTTCGATCAATGTGATGCCTAAGACTGTATATGCTTCTCTAAATTTAGGACCGTTGAAGCAAACTGAGATAATCATTCAGTTAGCTGACCGTTCTAATACATATCCTGACGGGTTAATGGAAGATGTCTTAGTTCAAGTTAATGAGCTAGTATTTTCTACTGGTTTTTATGTTCTTGACATGGATGACGAGAATTCTATGAATCCATCCCCTATAATATTAGGAAGGTCATTTCTAAGTACTATCTGGACCAAAATAGATGTTAATGAGGGGACTCTTACCATGGAATTTGATGTAAAGATCGTCCATTCCAATATTTTTAAAGCCATGAGATATCCCACTGAAACTGATTTTGTGTGTTCTATTAGTGTTATTAACCCTGAGTTGCAGGAGGTTTTTCAACTTAATGTTGAAGATGAACTACAAGTGGCCTTGACCAATTCACTCAAGTTGAACACAAATTGTGGGATGGAATTAAGTGCCAATCTTAAACACATGGTTGAAGCACTACAGACTTTGGAGCTTCACACCAAGAGGTATGAATTTGCCCCAATTTTTATGCATGAGTCTCATGCGAAATTGTTACTTTTTGTTATGCAGGCACCTAAAGTGGAGTTTAAGCCTCTACCGAACCATTTGAAGTATGTGTAACTAGGTGATAAGGAGATGCTTCCAGTGATTATCTTTACAAAATTATCACCTAGTAAAGAAGAGAAATTGATTTGAGTGCTTAGGGATCACAAGAAGGCGATTGGGTGGACTATCGTTGACATCAAAGTTATCAATCTCTCGTGTATGGATCAAATTAGATTTGAAGAGGATGAAAAGCCCGTGAGGCAAGTATAGAGAAGGTTGAACCCAATCATGACGGAGGTGGTGAAAAAGGAAATTATGAAACTTTTGGAGGTGGGAATTATTAGCCCGTGTGTGAGTCCAGTACAAGTAGTGCCGAAGAAAGCAAGGGTGACAGCGGAGGCTAACCATGAAGGTGAGCTCGTCCCAATTCAAAAACCCATTGGATGGCGCCAATGCATAGACTACTGTAAACTCAATGCAGTAACAAAAAAAAACCACTTCTCTCTCCCTTTAATTGATCAAATGATTGAGAGATTAGCTGGTCGTGCTTACTATTGTTTCTTAGATGGTATTTTAGGTTACTTCCATATTACAATAGCGCCAGAGGATCAGGAGAAGAGCACTTTCACGTGCCCGTTTGGAACTTTTGCCTACAGACAGATGCCTTTTGGGTTGTGTAACAGTCCAACTACCTTTCAGAAATGTATGGTAAGTATCTTCTCTAAATATATCGAGAAAATTATGGAGGTGCTCATGGATGACTTTAGCGTTTATGGAGATAGTTTTGATAATTGCCTTAAAAATTCAGCTTTGATCTTAAAAAGGTGTATTGAAACTAACTTGGTGATTAATTGGAAAAAGTATCATTTTATGGTTGAATACGAGATAGTTTTAAACCATGTAGTGTCATCCAAGGGAATCAAAATTGATAAAGCTAAGATAGATCTTGTGTCTACTTTACCTTATCCCGAAAATGTGCGGGAAATGCGTTCTTTCTTGGGTCATGTAGGATTCTATCGGAGATTCATAAATAATTTTTCCAAACTTGGAGCACCTCTGTTTAAGCTCTTATAGGAAGATATGAGTTTTGAATTTGATAAAAACTATGAGAAGGCATTTGACAAGTTGAAGGAGCTTCTTACTTTACCTCCCATCATTTAGTCCCCAGATTGGAACTTCCCATTTGAGCTCATGTGCGATGCCAGTGATTATGCCGTGGAAGCGGTAATGGATCAAAATGTTAGTAAAGCAACCCATGCCATTTACTACGCTTCCAAGGCCCTAAATGGAGCTCAATTGAATTATTTGACCACTAAGAAGGAACTCTCGACTGTTGTATTTGCTCTTGAAAAGTTTAGGTCTTATTTGTTAGGTACTAAAGTTGTTGTTTATTCTGATCATGTAGTGTTGTGGTATTTGCTGACCAAGAAGCAGGCTAAACCAAGGTTGATTCGATGGATTTTGCTCTTACAAGAATTTGATCTTGAAATTAGGGATAAGAAAGGAGCGGAAAATCCAGTCGCCGATCATTTAAGTCGTTTATCTATTGTCAAGAATGATCTTCCATTAAGAGAAGCTTTCCCTGATGAGCATTTACTCTCTATGAACTCATTTTCTCCTTGGTTTGCTGATATTGTAATTTATTTGGTGACTAACCAATTTCCTGCAAGTTGATCGAAAGCCAAGAAGGACAAACTAAGGAATGATGCTAAATACTACATCTGGGATGATCCTTATCTTTGGAAGCAATGTGTTGATCAAGTACTAAGAAGGTGTGTTGCCGAGAGTGAGTTTAATTCTATACTAACTTTATGTCACTCTTTTGCATGTGATGACCATTTTGAAACAAAAAGAACAGCGCATAAAGTATTGAATAGTGGATTCTTTTGGCATACATTATTCAAGGATGCGTATTCATTTTGTAAGTCATGTGATTGATGTCAGATGGTAGGTAATATCTCTCGTAAGGATCAAATGCCTCAAACTCCAATTATTTTTTATGAGATTTTTGATATCTGGGGTATCAATTTTATGGGCCCCTTTATGTCATCTTTTGATTTTCGTTACATTTTACTTGCAGTAGATTATGTTTCTAAGTGGGCGAAAGCGAAAGTCATCCGAACTAATGATTCTAAAGTGGTTGCAAATTTTGTAAAGTCTAACATTTTTGTTCATTTTGGAATGCCTCGAGCCAATGTCAGTGATAGAAGAAAGCACTTCTGTAATAAGACGATTGCTGCAGTGTTCAGGAAATATAGTTTCCTACATAAGGTTTCAACATCTTACCATTCTCAAACAAATGGCCAAGCGGAGGTCTCGAACAAAGAAATCAAATCAATTTTGGAGAATATGATTCGTTCAGATAAGAAGGATTGGATTGGAGTGTGTATTTAGAAGATGCATCATGGGCATATAGGGTAGTGTATAAAACACCTATTGGGATGTCTCCTTATAGGTTGATTTTTGCAATCAAGAAAACTGCAATTGCAAGAGTTGGAAGAGTTGCGTAATGAAGCATATGAGAATGAAGTGATTTATAAGGAGAAGAGTAAAGTTTTTCATGACTAGCATGTCACCCAGAAGACATTTGTAGTTGGATAGAAAGTTCTACTTTACCACTCTAAGCTCAAGCCTTTCCAGGTAACTTGCATTCTCGTTGGGTGGGTCCTTTGTTATCACTAATGTTTTCCATTATGGTGCAGTGGAAATTCAAAACTTGAAAACGGATAAGAAATTCGTGACGCATGAGTATCGCCTCAAACCCGACTATGAATATTTTCTAATTGAAAAGGTGGAGATGGTGCACCTTGAGGATCCAATCTATTCGAGTTAAAAACGTTTGGCCATGTCTAGCCAAAGACATTAAAGAAAGGCGCTTATTGGGAGGCAAACCAATTCTTTTTCTATTGACTATTAATTTTTATTATGTGTTTTATTATGTTTATCCTAGGTTTTACATAGTTGGTAGGTTTAATTTTCATTTTTGATAATTAGCAGACATCCACCTAACAAGACATGTCCGCGCCTTAAGGGCACGTGCTAATATGGAATCACCCAACTCCACAGTCAAAAGACTCTCGACCAACATGACATGTCTACGTCTTGTTGACGAAGGGTTCATATTCTAATTTCAAAAATTTCAGCGGATGACAAGGCGACAAGAGGGTACGTCCTAATGAGGAATTATTCATTCTCAACATCATAAGACTTTTGACCCACAAGACATGCCCAAGTCTTGTTCCACCAAGGGAGGGCAAAAAAAACTCCTTTTTCTTTCTATCTTTCTTCTCTTTTCTTTCCTTTTTTCTTTCCTCTTCCTTCTTTCTTTCTTCCCCAGCTGCCCCTTAGTTTCTTCCCCAATTGCGCCGACCAAGCATTGCTTGCCGTTCAAAGTCGCCATCCACCGCCATCCCCTTGACCACAACTCGGCCGCTGCTGCTACGTCGCCACTGCTCGCGCCATTGCCATTTGCTATTTCTTCTCTCCCCGAGACAATCACGCGCCACTCAATGCCGACGTCGCCGACAATTCACTCGCATCTCTATCCGCCGTACGAAGCAAAAATGGGCCTGTGGCGACCCCACTTCCCCCTGAGGCGAACCAAAGGGTTGGCGGGCCGTCTGCCCAACTCTCGCCAGGACTCACACGAGCAATCTAACCCGAAACCTTTCGAAGAATAAACTAATCTATAACAAAACAGTTTTTCCCCGAATAGAATCATACCTAAAGCCACATTAACTTTAGAGATAGCAATAATAAAATAACCAGTCGAGGCCCTTAAACGACCCACGTGCTACGTACCAAAGTACAAAGTCGTACCAAACCGGGTAGATAAACACCTAAGTCCATAATACAAACTTACAAGCCAAGCATTCGAATTAGGGTTTACACATTTTCCAGCTTCAAGTGGCAATCCAAAAGAAAAGTACATTATTCCCAAATAACTCATTACAGCCCACAAAATAAGTCATAGTATTCAAATACAATCCAAAATACAAACATAAGTAAATATCCAGCTTTCAATTTCCAGAACCTGTTAAGGAAAACAATAAACGTGGGGTGAGCTAAAGCTCAGTGGTGCCCCAAAACATGCAATCACATAAATCAAACAACGGATAATGACTTAACAAATTTAAACAGTTAGAAAAGCGTATAACAGCACAAGGTAGGATACGTGGGCTCTCAGGAGCCATTTCCCTCGCTTGATCACCAATTATCGTAGTTGACCCTCCGTCAACTCTCGCTACTTATGGTCCATGTAGATCCACTTATTTTAATCCTAACCCGTCACCGTTCATACCTCTGCTTCGGGACCGTACTTCGTCTACCGACGCAGTATACTCGAGATATACCCGTATAAATTTAGTCGAGAGATTCACCCAAAGACGTGATTGCAATCAGCTTCAAGCGTCAAGGAATTCACCCAAGGACGTGATTGCAATCAGATTCAAGCGTCGAAGGATTCACCCAAATGACTTTTGTAGTTAGATTCAAGCGTCGAGGAATTCACCCAACGACGTAACTACATTTAGATTCATGGTAGTTGGATACAAAAGTCGAGGGATTCACCCAATGACGCAACTCCATTTTTGAATCAAGGATTTAGGAGAAAATATTTTGCACAAGTCACCACTCGAACGGCTAGTGTGATAAAGTACACACAGCTCACTTCGATGGATCAGAAACCAATTTTTTTTTTCAACTTATCACATAACAAGTCAAGGAAACACTTTAAACGATTAGGCATAGAACAAGCAGGGACACTCACCAAGAGTGGAGTTCAGATATCAAGTTGGGGATCGAAATCCGCGTCCTCGAAAAACCCTAAAAACCAAAATTTGAAACTATAAGTTTCTACTTAGTTTTTAAGCTTAAAGTCATTAAGGTATATTTAATATAGTACTAGTTCACTTTCCCTTAGAAATATCAAGAGTCCCTTAGATTAAAACTTGACAAAAGTAGAAAAGATATTTCCTATGGTTTTCCTTGAGGTACTTTCCTAGAATGAAGTAACTAGTATTATTTTATTGAAATAAGTCGATAAACCTCTGAATATCAAAGCTAAAAAAATTACTTTAAACATTTTTCTAAAGATACGGCTTTTGCAAGATTTATTCCCAAAAACTATTTTTCAAAAAAAAAAATAGAGTTTTCTTGCCAAGCAAGACTCCCAGGCTTTTCACTAAAATTTGTAAATCTCGTATTTTGAAATTTTTCCTAAAGTTAGCTATCCAAATGTAAAGCTTAAGGAAAGAAAAGAAATTGAAATAAGACTTAGAATTTTCAAAAGCTATAGGATTAAAATACTATAGCTATCAAGACTAGTTTGAGCTAAAGGAACTTATCGGATTCGAAAAGTTTTTAGGTGAAACACTAGATATTGAGTTTTTATATTATAATACTAGCTGGAAAATATTTTTGATTACTTTGACCACAGTCACTCGAGTTCACCAGATCGATACAACTTCCACAGCTCCAATTCCGTTCCTAAATTATAATATAGATCAAAATATGGCAAAAATCACATAGCAAATTACTAGGGCTTCGTCAATTATTAGCCCTAGATTTCAACAAGTGCAATTCTGAATAAAATAAAATGATCAACCAAGGCTTCATCAATCATTAGCACTTGGTTTCAGCAAGCCCATCATAAGCAAATAAAAATAAAAGTAAAGCCTCCAAGACATTCCAGCAATTAACTTTCGTCACCCTGTAGTACTTATACAATCATTCAAATGGCCAAGGGCTTCATCAATCATTAGCCCTTGACAAAATCAATTATTTCCAACCACAATTTAATCAAGAATTTAAACCACAAGTAGGCTAAAATCTCAATCCAAAACCCAATTTCTGTTTCACAAGGAAACAGGACATTCATGCATAACAGTCCACTTTAAAAATCCACAGACAGCAGTACACATGGAGGAAAAATACAAAATTTCTACAGGACAAAGGCCTATGATTCTAGTTTCAAACGCCACTGACGGCGCCTTAAACGGATTTTCCTACACCAAGATATCAACCTTTTATTGAGACTGGTCAGGGCATCCGAAAATCTGAAATTTCAATTTTTCACTTGTGAAAATTCCTTTTTCCCCTTTAACACCAAAATGTTTTTATTCAAACCATCTATACACCTCATATAGAACTTCAATACAACATTTTCCAAGCACTTCCTTCCATCATGATTCAAGGAACAATTCAAAAGTCAAGTTAAGGTTCCAACTCACCCTTTGACGATCACATAAGAAATTTCCAGCAACTATGTGTTCAAAAATCCAACTTTTCCTTGGTTAAAATCTGGTTTTAAACACCCAAATTAATCATGCAAAAACTCGTCTAGCTATTTAATAATTCCAGTTCAAAATTTAACTCAACCAACAGCTGCAACACCCAAAAAAATAATTTCCAGAATTTCTGTACAACTAGCTTCGGACGAACATGCCTGCACAGATTGCATTTTTATTTTATTTTTCTAGTTTAAGCTAACTAATTAGCGGCATGCAGGGCCTAAATAATTTGTTATTAACCATCTAATCATGTTTATAAGCTTAAACAACAACATCAAACAAAATCAAGCTGAAAAATTGAAGCTAAGCTCTCGGCCAAAACAGAAATTCTTCCAGCATTTGCTTAGTCACAAACCAATTTTTTTTTTCTACGGCTAACTCTTGTGTTTTGAACTTAAAGCTCACATGCACAACTGCTGAATTAATACACTATCATTTCCAGACCAGAAATCAGTTTGTCAACAACAAAATTGAACCCAAAAATCACGAATTAAAGCTGCAAAAAAATCAAGGCAGGCCCTCGGCTAAAGCATTTCATCTCAAAACAAAATTTTCCACAGCTTTGGTTTCATCATCTGATTACTCAAATTAACACATGCAAGGTCACGGCTGGCATAACTACCTCTGATCATCCATTTTTAGTCCAGAAAATTTACCTCAAAGCAAGCTAAGATCACACACGAAAATCTGAAAAATTTCTGCTCCCTCTCTCTCTCTCTCGGCTTCACGTGCAGGTCGAGTTCCAGTTTGGGTTGTCTTGGCTGAGCAGATGGTGGAGCTGGGGTGGTTGTTGCGGCTGGAAAACTGGGTGCAGCCGATGGAAGTGGAAGCTGGATGAAGGATTCGCTCACGGCTTCCCTTATGTCCCTCGACCTTACGGACAGCAGCAGGAAAGAAAAATTGTAGCAGCTCTTGGATGGCTGGTGCGAAGTGAAGAGGAAGAATGAAGGTGGAGTCGCGGTTTGTGAAGAGGAGTGGTTTACGGTTGAGTGTGAAGTTGGTAGTGAATTTTGATTGGTTGAATGGTGCGGTGCTGAAGCTTCTGTCCGAGGAGTTGCTTGTGCAGAGAAGGAATTAACACTTGCGGTTTGTGTCAGTGAAACCGAAAGAATGGTATTGTGTCTTGTGGTTGAGGAATGAAATGTGAAATATAGTGATTGATAGGGTGGTTTTATGGTGCCGCTGTTTTAGGAGCAGAGGTTTCGTGTATTAGAATCGATTGCGTATAGAATTGGTGATAGTTGCGGTAATTGAATTTGCGGTCAGAGGATTGGTTTGGTTTGCATGGAATTGTAAGGGCATTTTAGTCTTTTCACTTTGCTCCCTAACCTCAACTTAATTTCTCAAATCCAACTTAATTCTAAAAATTATCCCCAAGTGTGATTTGAACGCCTAATTATACCCTAATATACCTAAACCATTTTTATCGAATAATTCTCGATTAAACTTTAATATTAAGGTTCCTAGTAATTCTTATATTAATTAGCAATTAAATTAGTTATTAGAATTTCCAATTATTATTTCTCAAGGAATAGAGTTAGTCTAACTCGAAATTTATCGATTTAGTAATATAAAGTCAAATGAAATAATAATTTAATCCAAGGGTGTCAATTTGCGCATAAAAATTATTTTTACGCACTTATTGTGAAAACAAGGAAAGATAAGGATATATTTATCGAATTTTCACGCCTTAAGTATGTTTAGTATATTAGAATCATATTTATCTAAAATTCATTGGTTTTCATCTTAACGCGGAAATTCTTATTAACATTTAACATTAGCAACTAATTGGAATTAATCATAGGAACTTAAATAATTTATTTTAAGATAGTAAAGCTATCGACTCAAGTATCATTAATTTAGCATAAAGGAATTAAGTATTCTAACATTTTATGTTATGGCGAAAAATTAAACTAACCCTAAAGATATCAATTTACTCTAGCAAAACCAAGAAATTTCATACTTAGGAGAATTATATTATTTTTCACATAAACCTATTTTACGTACTTAATTGCAAACAAGTAAAAGTAATGTTAGAAATTATTAAGGAATAAAAGAAATGCAAATGAAATATGCACTGGCTTATATATCTATTTTCAGGGTTCTCACAGGGCCGCTGCCCGTTGCCATCGTCTGCCGTTCGAAGTCGCCATTCTCCGTCACCCATCCCTAATTTTTGCTAACCCTATCTCCATTATCCTTGTTCCCCCTTATAAATTTCTTCACTAGGGTTGCCACTCCAAGGCTATTCAACTTTCTAATTGCTGGGATATTTCAATTGTGCAATTTGTACTGCCATATATAATTTGTGCTATCATTGCTATAGCTAATTTGGATTTTTGGTCTGGTTGTGGTGCTCCGATGTATTTCTTCCTCGCCTGATTGATTTTGCTACTGGGCTTTACTCTGCACTTTACATTTTTGTTTCCGATTGCTGGTGATTAGGAAAATTGGTGTTGTTTGGTGATTAGTGGATGCATGAACTTTACTAAGTGCACTTGAAGTGCGATTTCCTTACCGCGATTCTCCTTTTGCGTAGGAGTTCATCGTGTTTGTAATTTCTTTGACTGTTGGTTACTAATTGTGTTGATTTTGCTATTGCTTAATTAGATATTGCCATTGAGTCCTCTACACTGCTTTTGTGACTAATATTGGGTGTTGTTGCTATATTTCCGGTTTTTATTGATTGAAAGGGGACCAAGGTCTCGATTCTTCACTGATACTACTTGTTTTGGACCTGTTTGACTATCCTCAGCGGTTAGGGGTCAATTGGGGTGTGTATTTAACCTCTGAGTTTGGTGTTTGTCAACTATCATTGTTAATTGCTGATTGCCTGTTGCCTACATGGCTAAGAAAAAAATGACTACAAATCTAGGACACCTAGGTCTCAATCCACCACCAACTCCCAACCAACTATTCCCGCCAGTGACCCTTCACACCATCCCTGTTCGTCGGGTAAACAGGCACGCTTAGGTAGAGACAAAGGTGTTCATCTCTCCTCACCTTCTCACTTTGGGGGTCATTTAAATTTCACCAGAGCCACTGGCAAGTAACGGTATTCTACTTGTTGTGAATGGCGGATCATCCCTTGCAAACATCTTGACCCTCTTATTATGGCTATTGTGGGAAAATCTGTATTTTTGGGAAATAGAATATTGAAAATCTGTATTTTTGGGAAGTAGAATATTGAGTAATAAAACCGTGTAAATTAGGAGAGATTAGAGGAGCTAAATTGGGGTGACATCTTATTCCTAGGATTAAGGATATAATTGTGTATAGTTTCCTAATATAGGCTGAAACCTGTTGTATATATTTTTTTGGATCAATGAAATAATTAATTCCCCTCATTCATTATTTTCAAGTTGGCATCAGAGCTAGGTTTGCCTGTTTTTTCCTCCTAGTTGTTTTTTCACATTGTCCCCTGTCCCTTCATCATGTCTGAAACATCATCAGAATCTACCATTAACCCTCAAACTACTACCTCTTCATCCAAAAACAGAATCGAATCCTTGAAAACTGGTGTTGATTCTCACTCAATTCAGATTACTACCATTCGGCTGAATGGAGATAATTTTCTCCGATGGTCACAAGCAGTCCGGATGTATATCAGAGGTCGTGGCAAGATGGGGTATTTAACTGGTGAAACAAAGGCTCCAATATGCACGGATCCTGCTTACGCAACATGGGACGCGGAAAACTCCATGGTTATGACATGGCTTGTAAACTCAATGGAGGAAGATATCAGTTCTAACTACATGTGCTATTCAACGGCAGAAGAGTTATGGGAAAATATCAATCAGATGTACTCTGATTTGGGAAATCAGTCCCGGATTTTCGAGTTGACTCTCAAAATTGGAGATCTACGTCAAGGGGAAGACACTGTCACAAAATATTTCAATTCGCTTAAGCGAATATGGCAGGATTTGGATCTCTTCAACAGCTATGAGTGGAAATCAACAGAGGATTTTCAGCATCATAAGAAAACTGTTGAAGACAGCCGAATCTTTAAATTTCTGGCAGGGCTAAACGTTGAATTTGATGAAGTTAGAGGGAGAATTATTGGGAGACAGCCTCTTCCTTCAATTGGTGAGGTGTTCTCAGAGGTTAGAAGGGAGGAAAGCAGAAGAAATGTAATGCTGGGAAAGAAGGGTCCTGGAATTGCTGTTGAAGGATCGGCTTTAGAGGTTGCCTCATCCTTTAAAACATCAACTTATCAGCGTAGAACAGGAGAAAAATCCAGTGAAAAATCACAGGTCTGGTGTGACTATTGTAATAAGCCTCGTCACACTCGTGACACATGTTGGAAACTGCACGGAAAACCTCCAAATTGGAAAAACAAAGGAGGAGAGAAGTCTGGACGAGGAGTTCCTACTGCTAATGAAGCTGATGCTGGCCCCTTCACCAAAGAATAAATGGAGCATCTTCTTATGCTACTGAAATCCAGTTCTACCTCATCTGACTTTCCTAATGCTTCTATGGCTCATACAGGTATTGGATCTAAGGCTCTATTCAATTCTTTTTTGTCTAATTCCTCAACCTTTCCTGCTCCATGGATCATAGACTCTGGAGCCTCAGACCATATGACAAATTCTTTTAAACTCTTCCAATCATATACACCATGTTCTGGAAATAAAAAGATCAAGGTTGCAGATGGAGGTTTCTCTCCTGTTGCTGGAAAAGGTTCAATACAGATCTCAAAAAATGTTAACCTGAAATCTGTTCTTCATGTTCCAAAATTGGCCAGCAGTCTTTTATCAGTGAGTAAACTAACAAAAGATTCTAATTGTTTGGCTATTTTCGATGAATCTCATTGTGCTTTTCAGGACAAGAATTCGAGGATGACGATTGGCAGAGCTAGAATGATCAATGGCCTTTACTGTCTTGAGGATAATTCACCTAGTGCTCAAATTGCTCAAGAGTCTAGTAGTAATATTTCTGTATCTGCTTATGAACAAATAATGGTTTGGCATTACAGATTGGGCCATCCTAGTTTTATTTATCTAAAACATTGGTTTCCTTTGCCTTTTAAGAATGTGAACCCCCTAAAACTGAAATGTGAAAGTTGTTTGCTTGCTAAAAGTCAACGAAAATCTTATGTCCCAAGGCCTTATTTACCATCAAAACCATTTTATCTGTTTCATAGTGATGCTTGGGGACCCTCAAGGGTTACTACTGCTTTGGGAAAAAGGTGGTTTGTAACATTCATAGACGACCATACTCGTCTATGTTGGGTATACTTAATGCATAAGAAGTCAGAAGTAGCAACCATTTTTCAAAATTTCTATAACATGATAGAAAATCAATTTCAAACAAAAGCAAGTATTTTGCGGTCTGATAATGGAACAGAGTATTATAATAGTATCCTTGGAACATTTTTTGAAGAAAAAGGGATTTTACATCAGTCTTCTTGCACTGATACCCCCGAACAAAATGGAATTGCCGAGCGTAAAAACAAACATCTGTTGGAAGTCGCTCGTGCCATGATGTTTTATATGAACTTACCAAAATATTTTTGGGGGGATGCTGTTTTAACAGCATCATACCTAATTAATAGGATGCCTTCCAAGGTCTTACAATATAGTACTCCTTTAGAGTGTTTTAAAAAAATTTTCCCTGAATCAAGAGTTAATTCAGATTTGCCTTTAAAAATATTTGGATGCACTGCTTATGTGCATATTCCAAAGAAATCTCGGTCCAAGTTGGATCCTAGGGCCGAAAAATGTGTCTTTGTTGGTTATGCTCCAAATAAAAAAGGGTACAAATTCTTTAATCCTCTCACACGGAAAGTCTTTGTCACTATGGATGCAATTTTTTTGGAAGGTCTTCCTTTCTTTAACAAACCTTTGATTCAGGGGGAGAATTCTAGTGAATCAAATTTTTGGGAAACTGAAGCTTTACCAACTATAATTTTTGAAACAGATAAGGAAACGAAGATCCCTCAATTTGATAATGCAGAAACTGATATTGGTTTATCAGATATGGAAATATTGCGACGAGAAAAAAATTGTTCCAATCTTGAGCCTGTGGTATACACTAGGAGAAATATTTTTAAAAAGGGTGAAGGTCCATTGATGAGTCCAGCTCCTGTTCATGAGAAGTCCTCGAGGGAAGTCTGTCCAAATACATCAGGTAATACTTCACCTTTCTTTTCTTCTGCTGTTCCAGAATCTGACCCAGTTTTAAATCTTCCTACTCAAGAATCTGATCTTGATCTTCCCATTGCCATTAGGAAAGGAACCCGTACTTGTACTAGACATCCAATTTCCAAATATGTGTCCTATGATAACCTTTCCCCTAAATATAGAGCCTTTACCACTGAAATTTCAAAACTTGTGATTCCTAGAAACATTAAAGAAGCGTTGGTTGATCAGAACTGGAAATCTGCAGTGTTTGAAGAGATGGAAGCATTGAGGAAGAATGATACGTGGGATGTGGTGGAGTTGCCTAGGGAGAAAAAGATTGTTGGGTGCAAATGGGTGTTTACAGTTAAAAGCAAAGCAGATGGTACTGTAGAAAGGTACAAGGCCAGATTAGTTGCGAAGGGTTTTACACAAACCCATGGAATAGATTATCAAGAAACATTTGCCCCTGTTGCCAAGATAAATTCTATTCGGGTCCTTTTATCTCTTGCTATTAATGCAAATTGGCCATTGTACCAACTTGATGTGAAAAATGCCTTTCTGAATGGAGACCTAGAAGAGGAGGTGTTTATGAGTCTTCCTCCAGGTTTTGTAGACAAATATGGTGTTGGAAAAGTTTGCAAACTGAAGAAATCTCTTTATGGGCTTAAACAATCACCAAGAGCTTGGTTTGAACGCTTCAACAAAGCTGTTAAAAAATTTGGTTTCTTACAAAGTCAGGCTGACCATACTTTGTTTTATAGGCATTCAAAAGAAGGTAAAGTTGCAATTTTAATTGTATACGTCGATGACATTATTTTAACAGGGGATGATTGTGGAGGATTAGAGAATTCGAAGAAGTTTCTGGCCAAGGAATTCGAAATCAAGGACTTGGGAAACTTAAAGTATTTTCTCGGGATGGAGTTTGCACGATCCAAGGAGGGAATTGTTGTAAGTCAAAAGAAGTATGTGCTTGATTTGCTCAAAGAGACAGGTATGATGGGATGCAGGCCAGCTGAAACTCCCATGGAGCC